CTGCGTCTGTGTCTGTGCGGGCAATCCTGTCTGCCTCCCTGCTTGCGTGCGTGCGTGAATGCGTGAATGCGTGCGTGCGTGCGTGCGTGCAGGCGTGCTTGCGTGCGTGTCGGTGTAGGTGTGGGTGTGGGTGTGGGTGTGGGTGTGGGTGCGGGTGCGGGTGCGGGTGCGGGTGCGGGTGCGGGCGCGGGCGCGGGTGCGGGCGCGGGTGCGGTGTTGCGGGCGCGGGTGCGGGGGTTTGCGGGTGTGGGTGTGGATGTTCGTGTGCGTGTGGTGTGCGTGTGCGTCGCGTTGGGCTTGGGCGTGGGACGTTTTGTGCGGTGTTGGTGGGCATGTGCGCGGTGGGCGTGGGCGTGCGCGTGCGCCGTGCGCGTGCGCGTGCGCGTGCGCGTGCGCGTGCGCGTGCGCGTGCACGTGCGCGTGCGCGTGCGCGTGCGCGTGCGCGTGCGCGTGCGCGTGCGCGTGCGCGTGCGCGTGCGCGTGCGCGTGCGCGTGCGTGTGCGTGTGCGTGTGGGTGTGTGTGTGTGTGGGTGTGTGTGTGTGTGTCTGTGTTTGTGTGCCTGCGTGTGTGTTGTTCTGTCTGTGCGCGTCTGTGTGTGTCTGTGTTTGTCCGTGTGTGGCTGTGTGTGTGTGTGTGGGTGTGTGTGTGTGCCTGGGCGTGGGCGTGGGCGTGGGCGTGGGCGTGGACGTGGGTGTCGGCAGGGGCGTGGGCGTGGGCGTGCGTGGGCGTGGGCGTGTGCGAGTGCGTGTGCGTGCGCGTGTGGTGTGCGCGCGCGCACGGGCGGGCGGGCGGGCGGGCGGGCGTGCGTGCGTGTGTGCGTGCGTGCGTGTGTGCGTGTGTAGGTGTGTGAGTGCGTGTGGGTGCGCGTGCGGGTATACATGCGTGTGCCTGTGTGCATGCGCATTCGTGTTTTGTCCGTGCGTGTGTGCGTGCGCGTGCGTGTGTCAGTGTGTGTGTGTGTGTACGTGTGTGTACGTGTGTGTGTGTGTACGTGTGTGTACGTGTGTGTACGTGTGTGTACGTGTGTCTGTGTGCGTGCTTGCTTGCTTTGTTTAGCTTGGTTCAAAGGAAAACCAAAAGGCAACCACCCTAGAAACGCACTTCGGTTTTCCTGTTGGTGTCCTTAAACCAAAGTGAAAAGGCTACCCCCGAAGAAACACATTAGAAACACATACCCGAATACTCGGGACATCTCCGGCTGCTCCGCATCTGCGTTTAACTCATGGAACTCGCGGAGGTGTTGAATAAGGGTTGCTGAAATTCACTTTTTTGGCCTGGGGTCATGGTTCCCTTGGTGGAAATCATTGTGGTCATTGAGGACCCTTGCCAGCGGATATGGGTCTTTTCACTCACCAGGCACATATAGGTTATGCATAGGCCTTTGGTGCTGAGGGCGGGGGTTGGGGCGGTTTTCCCAAAAAAATCCATCGGCACGGATGGACTTTTTGTCCACACCGATCGGCCGTTGGATTCAGGTGTAGAGGGCTTGTGGACGTGCCCGAGCCCGCAGAAAGAAACAGACACAAACCTCATTCGGGGGGGGGGGGGGGAGTCACAAAATACATTACCCTTAGGGTGAAATTCCATGGGAAGACACAATCATTTGGGCTCCGTACTGTGAACATGTTGGCTCTACCCCGTGGACTTTTTGCGTGTGAAAAGCATTGAAATATACCGGACAAACTCCAGGGCGATCAAAGCCCAGGTGACATGAACTGTGCTGTTCCATAGGTTTCACAACCTGGGTGTCTCAAAATCAAGATATTGTTTTTCATGATTTGCCCTCTTGGGGTTCAAGAGGCAACATCAAAACATCTTGGCGGGGGGTCTCTTTGAAGACACAAATTGCACGACCCTTTACGTCTTCTAGTGATTCGACCCGAGTTGCGTTTTTCCCCGTTGCAGCTGGTTGAGGAAACAGCAATTCCAAAAACTCCGTTCAGCCAGGTTTTTTTCCTTTCTCCCCAAATTGATATGACGGATTGCGAAAAGATACGTAAACAAAAACGCGTCCTTTTGACCAGAAACCCAGAGATGGAGTTCGTTCGGGAGCGGTTCCCCATCCAAATCACCTGATTCACAAGCGGAGGCTCCAAATCAGCCATTAACCCCCCGCAAGAGGGTGTTTGTTCCTTTGGCTTCCCTTTAAAGCCACAAAATCTTGGTACCCTCCAGACACACCCATGATGTTCATGGCCATGAATCCTTTTCATAAACCCACTAAAGCAAAGCTATGCTTGCATGCGGAAGCCATAAGCCGGGAGCCAGTGGAATGATTGTGTTCAGTCTTCCCAATAAAACAAATGGAACATGGGACCCATGTGTGGAGATCTCCAGTCGAAATTCCCAAATCCTCCAGGGGGTGGGACATAGTTTGTGGGAAATTCAGCCGAAATCTACAATTAATATCCAAGAGGATGTCATTTCAAAGGGAACTCACTGGTCACTGGGCCAGAAAATGGCAACAACCTCCCCGTGAGTTCTTCACAACCACAGGTTAAATGGTTTCTCTTACACTTCTGTCCCCGTGGTTTCACCCGACCTCCTGACAGAAACCCTCCCCTTTTCAGTTTGCACAAGTCCGCTCCAAAAATATATCCAACCTGTCACCCCAAAGGGAAGCTCACAAAACGACGGCCTTTCTGAAAAAAGGGAAAGGCCCCGGAAGAGTCGGTTTTCAACCTGTTTCATTCGATAGGCAACCACGTTGCCCTAAATGGGACGCAGAAACAAAAAGATGATCAGCTTTTTTGCAACCAAGGGGAAGCCAAAAGGTCGGATCCGGTCGATTCCCTTGGGTAAGTGCGACCTGGACGATGACTCGGCCTTGCACGATTTGCTCCACCGCCGGCAGAGGCAAGCCGTCGTCTTCCCTGAGGCCCGGAGGAAAAAAGCTTCGACCAGTGTCAGTCTCTCTGTTTCTGGGCTGAGGGTCCCCCAAAATCCCAAGGCTTTTCGTTTTTCCGACTTTCCAACCACCCCCAAAAGGATAGCCTCCAAAACAAGTCGACACCACATTTGTGTGCCCCGTCGAAAGGGCCAAATTTGGCTTCCCGGAACCAAGCTTTCCCTCAGACCACCCCTCAAACCCCGAAAAAAAACTCTACCCACCGTCCGCAGCCATGTTGCGGAGATCGAGGCTTGGCAGTCGCTATCTCCGGCAGGCGCCCAAAAGCATCGAAGTTGGCCATCGCGGGTTAAAACCCGCAAACCAAAAACAACTCGCTGCGGCGCGGGCGTGTTTTTGTTTTTTTTTTTGGGGGGGGAAAAACCTGGTGGTGGTTTCGGGGATCGAAAATGGTTTCCCATGTATCCTTTACAAGAAAAAGGCGTTCGGGCTCCAAACCACCGACTGGGGGGGTTTCCTGACGAAAGGTACATGCGGACACCTGAACGCCAGGAAGCAAAGGGAGAAAAACATGATTGGCTCTCACTATTTTCTGGGGAACCCAAGCCAATTTGGGGCGTCCAACGTAAAAAAGAGACACCCAACTGCCTCAAGGCACATTTCATTTCTGGCGCCAGTTTTTGCGGCTAGGCGACTCATGGAATTTTCGTCTGGGATGCAGCGGCTTTGGCGGCTGCTCCCCACTGCCAGTTGATTGTTCCCTTCGAAAACTAAACGAAACCAGCTTGGATGAACAAAACATGGCCATGGGTCAAAAGCCTGTACCCCCAGAGAACATCCCAATCCCCACTAGAATAGACTAAAATGGGTGGTGGTACCATTGGTTTTGACCCACAGCCACATCTACGCTGATCGGTGCAGTTGGTAGGCGCCTTTCTCCGTAGGGCTTCCTTCATCCCAATTGGTATCGATCGGCATGGATGTTGTCCTCACAATGCCAGGCCTTTGCTAAGCAAATCTTCAAAGCTGGCAGCGCGAAAAAACGCGCGCTCTTTGGGTGACCTCTCGAATGGGTTCCAAACTCTGCGGAAAACATCCGGGTTGCCTTAACCTGCAAGGCTAGTCTAAATAATCGACCCCCCACAAAACGACAAGAACGATGTGAATGGCCACTGCTATGTTGTTGGCTCCCTTGATCCTTCAATGAACTTCGACTACAATACTCCCTCAAACATAAGTACCTCGGAACACGCCCAAAAGGGCTAATTAACACCCGACACTAAGTCCGCCTTTACAGCATTGCAGCATGGTAGTCCAAAATAAAGAATTGGTGGAATCAAGAAGCTTCACATTCTCAGAGCTCATGAGAATCCAATCTCTTGTATCCCTTCCTCCGTTTCCCTCATTTGTTTATCTGATTTCCAGTTTCCTTTCCTTGCGTCCCCTCCCTTCCCTCCCTTCCCTCCCTTCCCTCCCTTCCCTCCCTTCCCTCCCTTCCCTTCCTTCTTCCTTCCCTTCCTTCTTCCTTCCCTTCCTTCCCCCTTCACTTCCTTCCCTTCCTTCCCTTCCTTCCCTTCCTTCCCTTCCTTCCCTTCCTTCCCTTCCTTCCCTTCCTTCCCTTCCTTCCCTTCCTTCCCTTCCTTCCCTTCCGTCCCTTCCTTCCCTTCCTTCCCTTCCTTCCCTTCCTTCCCTTCCTTCCCTTCCTTCCCTTCCTTCCCTTCCTTCCCTTCCTTCCCTTCCTTCCCTTCCTTCCCTTCCTTCCCTTCCTTCCCTTCCTTCCCTTCCTTCCCTTCCTTCCCTTCCTTCCCTTGCTTCATTGTTCGGTTCCTACACTTGGTTTCACAATCTCGCTGATTCCCAGGCAAGCTTGGATGTTCAAGGGTAAAAACCCGTTACCTGGATCGCCAAGTTGCTTTTCTTTCCCAAACACCTTGCCCTAAAAACCTGTCACAGGCAGCTGGGAAAAAAGCGCAACTGGCGAAAGTACAAAACCAGGGAAGCACTGCCCGATTCATTTTGGGCCCTCAAACCGCCAAGTTTGAGACCCCAACACTCCTCTGAATATGGAGGGTCTGGGAAGAATTGGAAGCCCCAGGAGCGTCTGGGTGGGAAGGATCACCCTGAAGGACGACCACCCCCGAAACACGATGCCTTCCCCACGCCGGTGCCGTGCTACGGCGCCCAGCAGATCCCGGTCGATGGCCTTGGCGACCAGCTCAAACCACTGCCCGGGGGTTCATAAGATATACAGCCAGGCGATGTAGCCGCCATATAAAAAGGGTATACAGTATACCCCAATTTATCCAGGTGGTTTGGGGGTAGTGGACTCCATCATGGAGAAGGTACATCCATGCGAATGGCTTCCTCCCAGCTACTGTGACTGTTTTGGGGTACAAGTGTCTGGAAGACTCAGCGACTTGGCGATCCAGGGATCTTCTAAATCAGCCCGACAAACAAACAACACCTGTTCTTTAAAGTTGAACATCGGGTGATCGCAATCCATCAGGAACCACTACATGGACCCATGCTGTGTCAAAGAGTTGGATGGCTGAAGGAATGAATGGGCCGAACAACCTCCGCGTGGAACACATGTTTGTGCATACCAACGAGGAGCTCAATGCGCCATTGGCCGATCCCACTCCATAATTCATGCATATTGGGAAGCGGCGGACTCAGAAGCCATATCGGGCAACCACAACGTGGACTCCTGCCGCACTTCAAAGGGTTTAGAATGGGGAATGGGCCAATCCCAGTCCAGAATCCCCAATTCATACGCAGCAAAGTGAACCCTGCATAACCCCGGAAGGAACTTGGGGGGTCATATCAGCCATCTCTGCTTGTGTTCTTTGATGAGCGTTTCTTCCCATCATCTCTTTCTCGTGCGGTTGGTGGGTATGCCCAAAGTGTCCGACCCATTCCAACCCCAGTCCCACGACCTCTCTTTGAAGCTGTTGGCCTGGGGTTTTCTACAAGCTCCCACGGAAAACCCCACCAACTCAACAATTGCCATAAGCGACCCCTCCGACTATTCCCGGGACCGAACCATCAGCGACCCCGAGATGTTCCGGTCGCCGCTCGCAACCTTCGACCCCGGGCCTCATCGGGCCCCAGGGGTGCCAGCGTCACTTCCATGTCCAAGCCCAGAAGCTCCGCAGCCTCCCTGCGAGTTTTGTTGCTGCAAGAGGTACTGTGGATGGACGAAATCCTGCACCTAAGAGACCCTGGAATGATCGTTCCCTGTGAGCATCAGCAAATAATGGTTTCCCATGGTGTCATCCACAGTAGGGACGACTTTCCGAGCTTCGGATTTGGGAATGAACCCGGATTATTCGAACCAAGGAAACCAGCAGTTTGGATCGAACGACTTGGTCGCCAGATTTACTTCAGAAGGACCCCACCAAAAAAACAACTTGAGGTGTTATCTGATCGAACCACCCATGTTATTTCAAGCTACCTTTTGGCTTTGAACCCTTTTGGTTGGCCTTAAAGGGACGCCAGGATGCCATTGTTTTGGGATGGGAGGGGTGCAATACCCATTTTGGCTGGTTGGTTTTCTTCGGAAACCAAAAGGAAAGCCGATGTCGATGTCCAAGTTTGGGGGCAAATCAATCATCGTGGACGACAAGGGGGTTCCCCAAGAATAAAGCATAGTCTTCCAAAAACCCTCCTGTCAGTGCCCATGATTGATTGAAAGAGGGTAAACTTGTCGGAAAATAGTGTTGAATAAACGTCAGCAGCTTGAAGCGACTACTTGCGGCAAGGGCAGCCACCATCATGAAAAACCAGCAGACCAAGACAGATGGGTTTCCAGGAGTCCCACGTGTTCCTGTTGGTTTCCGAATAGAGGTTCCAACCAACCGAAACTTGGGGCACAACTTGGCTCCTCGCGGAAAAACAAATGTTGGCTCGGGGGCCTCGTAAAGTCCTCCATCAGCTCCAAAGGCCAGTCCGGGGAAACGTCCAGCTCGCGCAGCCGCAGGCCCAGCAGCCCCTCCTGCGGTCCAAATGGGTCTGTTTGTTTTCAGGGATTTGGACAACCCCCCCCCCATTTGGCGCGACGGTGTCTCCTTTTTCGAATTCCCTTTAAAACCGCGCAACAGGAAGTATCAGGACCGACCCACTGGCGCTGGAAGGAGACACACGATCGCCGCCGCCCTGGCGCTGGAAGGAGAGTACCATTGAGCCGGCACTCGCTTCGCCCGAGTTACGTAGATGCAGCCTCTCCCAAACCTCCGCGTTGCCCTCAAATGACGGCTATTGGCCCCCCGCGAAACAAGTAATCCAGGTCCTGTTTTAGATAGGTTAGAATAAGGGTACCAACTTTTTTCTGCAGTCTATCTTAGTAGTGGAACCCTCCCCCCAAAAAGGGTAAAAGGGCACTACTGGTAAACCTAGTAACTAGAACTGTTGCGTGGGGTCATCATCCCGTGCCAAGAAGTGAATGAAGGATCCAAGCTAACATTCCTTGGCACCGGCAGGGGTCCATTGGTTGACTGAAGGTAGACACAGATCAGCGGAAACAGCCGACAAATAGGCCCCCAATAGATATGAGAGGAAGCCAGTAGGAGCAATCTGAAACCCTGACTGTCCCATCTTTCAACCCGAACACCTACCTGTGCGCGCGACAGGCGCGGCCCCAGGTGGGAGATCATTCTTGGCATGTTGGCATGGCTCAGTCACTTACGACGACTTGCTCGAAGCTAGATGTGAGCAGTGAAACTGCTGAATGGTAAGGAACTCTTTGGAGCTTGGGATTCATGCCCAGCCAGTCTTGTGAGCTTTTGAATTCACAGCCAGACACTTTCTCCCACAGTCTCCCTTCGCCTTCGCCCTGATCTGCAGCGGCATGGCCTCGCTCCAACCAAGAGGCGGCGCCAAGAACAGCACCTGGCGACTCTCTCGCCCGTTTCTCCGCGCCCCCAACGAGCAAAAGCTCAGTTGACCTGGCTTCATCTCAGTCCAAAGCACCCAGAAATAGAAGCTTCACTTTTTGCAACCTTCACAAAACTGCAAAACCAAAGGTCAGAAGTTGGGCTTTGGGTGAGCGAGTACTGGAGCCCCACTTGTTTCCAAAAGGGGCGATTCCAAAAAAATCGAAGCGAGTGCGTCACGCCAAACATCAGCCATGTCCACACTTCTGTTTGTATCTAGCCGTGTATCTGCAAAGACTTGGTGAAACTCGATGAATTCCACAAATTTCAACTGGTGCGAAGTGGAAATTGCGCAAACACGGTAGGATTGAACCTGTGTATCTGTGCAACCGCTTGCCTTTGCACAATATACATATATATATATAGATATATGCAGCCTGCCTTCCCACCTACTCGCCTTCAAATATTTGTGCAAAGGATCGGCAGGTTCAGCGGACAACTGGACTCTCTCCTCTGGAGAATCAGCCACAATCTCCACAAAGACAAACCAGGTGTACCCTTTCACGTCGGGTTCAAGAGAAACCCAACGGAAGAATCCCAGTTTAAGGTGAAAACCCTGCGGATTGACGAACTCCACCGAGTGAAACGGATGACACCCTATAAATCCTGGGACCAATTGCTCCAAGTCACCTAAGCGCCAGAGTTTGTCCGTCCACACCCTCCCACGCTGGCCTCGTAAGGCTTCGCGCCATGGATCTGCACAGCAAACGCAACGAGCGACATCCTGCGGAGCGGAGCCCAAAAGCTGCCTGCAGTCGCACGTGTCTTCGTTGCCGTGGCTTTCCTCGATCTGCAAAACCAATGGCGCTTCCCAGAACTGAGACATGCCCAGACCAAGGCCTCTCTGCAGGTGAATGAGGATTCCGCATCTTTCTGGCGTCTAGCGGGTCCGGGCCAACTGGCACGCACGATTCTCCGATCAGGGAGTGATGGACTTCAAATTCATGGCCTATTTTATGTTCCTCGCATTGGCCCCCGCAGTCGGCGGAGAAAGTTTCTCAGCTGAGGAACCGCACGCGCAGCTCAGGACTCACCGTGGCTTCGCCAGCAGCGAGTTTTGTTGCCGAGAAAGTGCCAAACTGGAAAAAGGCGAGGAAAAACAGCTGCGAAGCTGCACTTTTGCTCAGTCCACTTGCCTCACAATCTGGTTGCCTTGGCGCGCAGCCTCCATTTCAACAGAAAGCAAGCACCATTCACCACTTGCGGGGGACGCTCTTAAAATGATGCTTCACCGCCTTCCCGCTTGCTTAGTTTGCTTTCAAGGCTTGATTTTGGAACATAACACTCTCTGTGATGCCAACCTTTCATTTGCTTGAGTACGCTGGAAAAAACATATTTCCAGTAGTGATAGATTCCATTCTAAAGTCACCAGGGAAAAATAACAAATATTCCCAAGCAAATGGAAGCAACATGGGTGGTTCCCAACACTACTTTATCACTATGCGGGTTCTCTTGACCAAACAAAGTCCATTCCCCTAGATGGAACATCACCGGACTAGCTGGGATGCGGGCTAAAGCTGGATAAACCACAAACATGCTCCAAACCATATCCACAACCATGGAAACTTATTCAAACCAAACCATGCGGAGCTCCCGGTCACACCTTCCAAGGCGCTTTTGATGTGTCTGTAAGAGGATTTGTTGAAGACCTGCTGCACGCTGGCGAGCTGAGGGGATGCAGGGCTCATGGTGGGAGACGGCTCGGGCTTCAACATGTTGATCACCTCCTCAAAGAGAACCTGCCGACGCAAAAGCGCACGGATCCACGATGAGGCATGAAATTGAACTTGACCCTTTGTGGACACCATTTGCGTGGGGATGCGTGTCCACCAACCACTTTTGAGGTGGCCCCCTGTTTAAACGCATGGGCATATACCAACAATTGGCCCGTTGGGAGGGTAGAGGTATGAAAAACTCTCGCATGGAGTGTATGGATGCACAAATTCCCACAAGCTCCATGAAGACTTGGCGTTCATTTGGTCTCCTTTTGAAGTTGCTACCCGTTCTGTTTTCAATGGGAAACCAAAGGTACCAATGCCAAGTGTCATCTTGGTTCCCAATAAAACTGGTCGAATATCATCCTGAAAGGGCTCCACCTGCATACAAAACCTTGAACTGGTTTCTCTTGGTTTGCCCTACTTTTCCCATGGCGTTTTGCAGGAAACAAAATATGGTGCGTACCTGGCGATATACCCAGAGTACGTGCCACAACCAGCGGCA